ATGTCTAATGAGCTATATTTTTTTAGAGACTATAATATATGTATGTATAATATATAATAAAAAAAAATAGTAATACATAAATTTTATAATTTAATACATTACTTTGTTATTTAAATTTTTATTTAATTAAAAATAATTAATCTATTAAATATATATAGTTTATTTATTTATTTTGTATCGTTATTTCAATTAAAATTATACTTAAAGAATATTACTAATTAGACACATTGTATATAAGACAGAACACTATATAAATATAATAACAATTTGAAAAAATATGTGTCATAACCATAATTTTCAAATAAATAATATTTTCTATATTCAAGTTTAACATTAAACACAAAAAGGTATAATATTTGCCTAATATCACAGTTAAGTTTATTTAATATAAATTTTATGTATAACATATTGGCGAGTATGCAATATAGAAAAAGGTAAAAGTTTATTATAACACTTTTCATCTTCATGAAGATAGTATATTTTAAGGAATTATATATTTTATTATATGTTATAACATATATTTAATTTAATTAATTGTACTTATGTGATCTATAATTTTTTGTATTAACTGAAATTTATTGTCATCATACTAATTAATGCTCATGTTGGAAGAGAAAACAATAGCATTGAAATTAATCTATAATTATAATATTTAGATGAATAATAATTATATTTTTTACCCATATATTATTATACATTTAAACAATTATATATGTGATAAAAAAATATATGACATAGTATAATACAAATTTATGAAAATATATAAGTTAAATATTTTTTGCGTAATGTAATAAATAAATTTTATATATGAAATAACACACGTAATATGTTTATTTTGATAAATATAAATATATGTGCAGACTAAGACACCATGTATTTCTTTAAATAAAAATATATTTTAATAAACCTTACTTTGTTTATGTACTAGTTCCCGCAGCAGATTTTTTAATTTGCAGGTTTTTTTTACCGTATATTATAATATATAACATAAAAGTAAATTTATGTATCTTCATAACACTCATTCTTTTAATGAATATATTCATTATAAGAATTTTAGTATTTTAGGTGACCACAAAAGAAATATTTATTCTTTATATACACATTTTTTCTACCTATTCATATATATAGTTGTATAGACAGTAATTAACATCATTTCTATATATGTTATAAATAATATAAAAATATATTGGTATCGATTTATTGAATGTATATACCTTATTTATCTTCGAATGTGCTATTTATTCTTTTTGATTTACTGATTTTTTTTTTTATTTATGTACATGTAAAAGGTTTATCTAAAGAATGTATATTATAATGGATAATTTGATTTATAATAAAAAATTAATATAATGCTTAATAGTCAATCATAATAATAATCATAATTAAAATTAACGTTAAATTTATTGCATATCTTAAATTCTGGAATATGAATGCTAGATGTGAAAAATATTTTCTAGAATATGATAATTAATATTTATCACATCCTTTTGTAGGAAATATAATTTTTATCTATTTACACATATATATTACCTCAAGAATCTGCTGAAATTTTATATTATGTTTATTTATATAATTATATTCTTCATAGAAAAATAATGTTCATGGTATGTTAATAAACGATATAATGTTTTATGTAATAATTAATTTTATTATAATACGATAGATCGTACATATGATATGCTGTATATATTATTCCTTGTATATTCAGCATGGTATAATGTAATAATACTTATATGTAAGCAAAATGATGTTTAATGATATATATTTAGTCAAATTCACATATATTATATATAACATATATGAATATAAAAGAATGCAACTCATTCAAAAAAAAGTACGTTATTTGAATCAAATAAATGATCTATTTGTGTTCAAGACTTTCAATTTAACTAAACAACATATATGTAATTAAAATTTTCATGCATTATTATCACAAATTTAGGAGAACATAATTTACTTCGTATAAAAACATCATATGAATATTATTAATATCATTCTAACAAAAAAACAGTTTTCATCATTTTTATTTGATAATTTATCATACATTTATAAATAACGCTATATAATAGAATAGTATGATATATATGCAGATGTCTTATATCAATGTCATTAAATATTTGTATATATGGAAGACATTTTTTAAAAAAAAAAATTTATATTCAGCAAACTACAGAATATATAAAAATGTAAATTTATGAAATGTATACATTTTATGTTTAGTCATTCAACATGAACGAAATAATAATATTATTAACATTACCTAAAAATACCACTAAAGCATTATTTACTTAAGTTCTCTAATAAATCTATATCTTTTTTATTGTATTGTGAGCATAATTTAACATTTATAAGAAAATATTAATAGAAATATATATAAAAGCATTTATTTTCTCCTTTTTATATGCAATTTAAATGAAATACTTTCTTGTAAATATACATTTATTGGTGTCACTGTTCAGAATTATATAGCACATTGTATCTAATATTCCATGATTTATTTTCTTATGTATCCCATTAATGCTTTGTATGACATTATTCATCTATAATTTTAAATACATTTCTTACACTTTTAATATTAGGCTTCAGATATGGGCCATAAGGATTTAACTAATAAAAGAAAACATGTTAAATTGATGATATAATTTTTTAAGGATATATATATTTTTTATTAATATATTTTAACAATTATTTTATATAGTAATCATATATATTATTAACATTATATATAAGAAGCAATACACATGGTAAAAATAATATTATAACAACATAAATTGAAGTACGAACTACTAATTTTTGACTTTGATGAGAAGTTAATCTTTCCGATAAGATTATATCATAGTCATTATTGATTCCAGATGATTATATTTTTTCCTAATGCTCATTAATTTTTTTACGTAAATCAGAAACAGTGCTTGATTCGTAAGCATTCATGAGGCGATAATGTATATTTTCACACTTTCTGGCATAATCACATTTATTTTCAACACACTAAAATTAGAATTTTCTAAAGTAAGAATTCCTATACGAATATCATATATACCCTTGTGTAATTCTATCCCATGATAAGTATTATTTATTTGATTTTTAACAAGAAATATTTTTAAATAATTGCTCTTATAATCTATATTTATATATAAGCCATAAATATTTTTGATCTCTCTGTCATGGTCTCCATAATTTAGTTTATATTTATTTATCCAATAATACAAGTACTTGAAGGTTTTTGATTACAAAGATGTATTATTTGCCAATGTAAATATTTAATATAAATATTATATAGTTTGATAGCATATATAAACAGCAATTCTTATAAAAATATTTTAAAATACTCCTTTAAATTGCATTCAAGCATTCTTCCATGTTTCTTTTTTATTATGAAAATTATTCATGATATTATTATATTCAGTAAATAATAAATATATAGATTCATACTAAAAAAATATAAAAGTAATAATATTACAAAAAACATACTCATGAACCATTTTGCATATGAATAATGGAAATTGATATACACTATTATAATAATATTTCAATTAATATAATAATAATTTTATCCTACAATATATTTTGCCATCTTCATTATTATTATATGCTTTTTCAAACTAATCCAATAAAATATTGACTTTTACTTGCACATAAATTCCAAAATTCTAAAATAATTGTACATGGTATTAGAAAATATTATTTGTCCTCTATTAAAATTATACAATTGATGGTAATAAGAAAACTGGGATGTAATGATCAATATTTTTTATTCTAATTATAATGTGATATTGTTTGTTATATTTAGTACGTTTTTGTAATTATTTTGAAGGAATATATTAAAAACATAAACATAATGCTTAGTTAAAAAGACAATATCATTTTTTGTTAAAATTACGCATAAAAACAGGAAATAATTTAGAGTTCAGAGTTCATGATTTTAGTTTTAACGATTAGTCTTTTATTTTATTAATTTGCAGCATATTTTAACTTTTGTATATTATATATTGAAGTGTATACATTGTAATTAATATATCACATTATATAATTTATATATATGTATTTTGAAAATATAAAACATATATTATTTTTTATTATTACTGTGAATTTATAATTATATTATTTTATTAAAATTCATAAAAATAAAATAAAGATAATTACCTTTTGTAATTAAAATATACAATTTATTATTATACACTATAGGTTTCTTCTATAAATGTATTTAATTTTATATTATGTTTGATTACAGGTTATTTTGTTTTAACATTTAGTATATATATTTTTATTTTCTTTGTCTCACAATTTGTTTAAAACTTGTATCAGTGTTCTATATTAAATTTCTTTTTAGTGTTTTATTAATTCATGTATCCATAAAATATTTTAACATATTATATTCATTATATTTTTTTGCACTTCTTTTTTTCTGTTACACATGTAAATTAATGATTATTTTTAATTATATATATATATTCCAAGAAAATAATTATTTTTTATGCTTTAATTGTAAAACCATAATTTTTAAGCGATCAATAAATATAATTATGATTACAATTATATTATTATAAATAAGTTATATATTATGAATGCACTACTTATAATGATTTTATTTAAATTATATATATATTTAAAATTTGTATTATGTTTATACGGAAAATACATTAAATTTAAATAAATGTGCACTACTAATAGTGTACTATATATATATGTAATGCTTGTTTCATAATATAAAGTATATATTATTTTTTTAATGTTTTTCTAATATGAATAATATAATTAGTAATTACATTGGATCCCATTTCCTAATGTGTCATTACTAGATATTCTTCAGAAAACACTTATTTGTTTATTCTTCATGAGTAACAAAGAGAATGAAAGCAGATTAAGAGTGCATTTAAATTTATATATATTTTGTAAAGAAAACATAAGTATAAAAGTAGAATTATATTTGAATATTGAAATTTTTTTAATATATTATCTTAATGCATAATATGTGCCTTACGTATTTGTCTTATTTAATGTTTTGCATAAATGACATATTGTATATAAATTACATTCTTCCATTGAAGAATATAAATACACTCTTTATTATTTCATTTTCATATATATTATTATATTTTTTATTCTGTTTATTGTGGCATTATAACGATGTATAATCTTTAATCATTAAAATATATAAAGATAATATATATAAAAAATGTTGCATATGGATAGATATATGTTTTAAAAAGCATTAAAGATATAATATTTTAATAAAATATAAAAAGGTTATATATAAATATATGATTCCATGATATATATAATTTTTAAATAAACAACAATATAATATATAAGAATAATTAACAAAAAACACTATTTAAAAAAGTACAATACACCAAAAATACCAAAAAAATAATGTATAATACCATAGGTTTACATTTGAAAAACTTGTAAAAAAAAATTAAAAATTATATTCTTTTATTATAAAACTAAATAATGAATAACATCTTAATTTTTTTTTAACCTATATATTTTCCTTAATTAATATAAAAATTATTGATAACATAAGAAAATAATACTCATTTTTTTTGACAAATTAATTTTGCATTTCTTCACTTATTTTGCTGAAAGACTTTGGAGTGATATACTCTAATTAAAAAATAAGATTTAATGATTATCAATATTATAAATATATATATAGAAATTTAGATAATTATTAAAATTTTTTTACAATTTTAATATTCTTCAATTATTAATCCAATTTTTTATTTTGGAGGTCATAGAATATTTATTCTTTATAACATGAAAATTATAGATATGTATATTAATTTTTCAAAATTTTACATATTTATGTACACTAGATATATCCAACATTTTATACATTTACATTGCTATCAAGTACATATTTTTTGCAAAACATTCGTGTGATAAATATATTCTTATCTCCATTTCCTTATTCATTTTTTTTGTTTACATTATATAAATTGGTTAAAAAAAATGTCAATATAATACTTGCAATAGTTACATACATATAATTTCACCAAAAATAAAGTATAACACTCATAATGTTTTTAATTTTATTTCAATCAACTAATATATTATATATATATATATATATTTACAAAAAGATAAATGATATTCGAATATTATAGTATATTTTTCCTCTGAGGGCTAATGTTTTGCTTAGTGAATTTAATTGTTAGTTCAACACGCAATGCTTGTACTTTCTAAGAGTTATTATAATTTACCATGATTTCAGTAAATAAGGGAATAGTATATATGCATTTAATTTATTCTATTTCCGTGTAGTAAAGTTCCTATTATACCGTTTTCTGTAATAATTAAAAATTAAATTTTCATATATTATGGCATTTTACTAGATATTATAAACGGTCTTTATTATATTATCATAATATATCATATTAATATACTTAAATTTTTTTCTCCACAAATTCAAATGATATATAGTGTTCATTAAAGTAAAAAAAAATGGACGCAGGAACTAATATTACTCATTTATTAGTTCTTGATAAATTAATTATATGCTATTTTATGACTATGTTCCACTGAATTTTTGTATTTAACATCAAATGAATACATAAAGTCCGGAATATATTTTTTATTTTTATTAAACGTTATTCTTAATTTCCTTAATCTTGGTTGTAAAAATGAAAAATAAGGGGTATACTAAAGAAAAAATAAAATAATATATTTATTTATGTTCATTTATATTTATTTTTTTAAATCATTTCTATGATAAATTCTAGTACAACATAAATATGTTATATTGATATTGTTTTTAACCTTATATAAAATAATCATAATAATTAATATTGAAAAACTTATAAAAACCATTCCTATACCTATTCCTGTGTTTGATACAACATCTGTACCAGTGTTCATTAAAGCATGAGGTTCTATTACATTTATTCCAGGAATATTCTTTTCATGCTCAATACTCCTTTTTTCGACTTCCTCATCGAATTTACCTCTTATTTTATTTATCCAACTGTCAGTTATGCGATCTGCGGCATAATTATAAGGATGTACTGTCCACCTTATTTTATAGCCTTTACATATATCAATAATTTTTTCCAGTTCTTCCTTAAGTAGGCTCTTATTATTATAAGGATAATTTGCTAAATTAAAAATTTTCTCCTGGAAAGCGTTCATCTTTTGAGTGTCACTTCTTTTCATTTCTTTAAAAATATCAATGTATTCATATATTTCAAACAGATATCCCAATACTGTAAATGTATCTTGATCAATATGTTCAGAATAATTTTTACATATCTCAGATATGGTTGTATTAATGTTCTCTCGTTTATAATCTATCATTTTCTGATAGCATTCCTTAGCGTTAATATTTTTTTCTTTTGCAAATTTATCAATTATATCTTTTTCCAGTTTATAATAGAATAATTTACAACATTCTTGCGCATTATTACGTTTAGAACTTTCTATATGTTCTAAATACATACAAAGAACTCGACACCATTTAGAAAAAATAGTTGGTGAACCAACACCTTTGATTACATCATTAAAATAATTACTACAAAGAAATGTAAATTTTTGATCAGATTCAGATCTGTGTTCATCTATATTCCAGTTGAAACTATATATACACGTGTGGAACATACCATTAAAATTGAACTAAAAATGAAAGTCACAATATATAAAAAAAAAATTATAAAAATTATTCAATAACAAATTCGCTTTCATTTTTAATAAATAAAATATTCTAAAACCATGTTTATAAAGCTCTATTTTATTAAACATTTATATCATACGTCATCTCGCTCTGAAATAGTACCATTCATCGTATTACAATTATCTTCTAAAGAAAATAAATATGTTATGCACTTTTTATAATAAATTTTAATAGCTTGAAAATATCTAAGTAAATATTATATTCGACTACTTATAATAACACATATGATGATACTTAATTCTACATATTTTATATTAAATTCATAATTTAGTTAAATTATTTATTCATTTAAACCGTGTTAGTATTATTCTTTCTAAGAAACTCTATGTTAATTAAAAAACATATCATTATATAAAAAATAAATTCATCTACTTTGAAATGTATAAAAAATCAAAATAGAAACTATATTTATAATAATTTAATATATGTAACACTATATTTATAGCATTGCAAATACATATAATAAAATAAATTCTACATGAATCATGGTTTATAATTTTATTTTAAAACATTTATTTTATGTCTTTAATTAGATTTTAAAAATATATACATTCTTATATCTACAAAAAACTTTAGTTCAAAATACACACTTAATAAATCATGCTTCTTTATATATTTCTTTATTTTGGTTTTGCATATTTTCATTATATATATTATAAGTTCGTTATTAGGATTTTCATTACATTTTACTAAAATGCAATAGAAACACAAGTATATAATATATCTTATTTTATTTTAATTATATTAAAATAAAGTGTATACTATTTCATAACTATTTTTAATTTATATATACACTAATATTAGTATATGGTACATTGTAAATAATTATTTATCTTGAGTATATCTATATTTATTATAAATGTGTCATTTATTTTTTATATAATATTCATATAAATATTATATTACGTATGCATAGAAAAAATAATTAAAATATATAATTTTATATTATATATCATGTCCATATATATTTTATAATGAGTTAATATTTTTTGAATTATATAATATAATGCTTCAATAAAATAATTTACTTATAAGCAAGAACTCCTACATTTTGTATATAGTATATTTATTTTTTTTTTTTTTTATATATTACTATGCTTAGCAATGTTATTTCATAATATATTGTTATATTTTTTTATTTTAATTTATTCCTCATTTTATTAAACTCAAATTATTCTTGCCCGATGTGCCAAATAAATTATTTTTTTCTGGAGATCTGTAAAATGTAATGATGGTTATTCCTCTATATAAGCAAAAAATAATATAATATAAGTATTAATGATTTAATAATTATTTTCAAATATAATTAACAATATATTAATTACATAATGATATTTTTATTATTTTTGCTTTAATGATTTATAAAAAAACAAAATGTTTTATTTTTTTTATACTCCAATTAAATATTATGTAAAAAAAGCCATAATAACTTGACGCACATTTTGCCTAATTTTTATGTAAATTAAATGTTTAAAAAAATAATTTATTTATTATACAAATTTAAAAAGATATATAAATATACAATGTAATAAAACCGTGAAGCCCAAATATAAAGAAATAATATATATTATTGGATTCATACATACTAATTTTAATCAAATTTTTTACTATATTACCATACGGTTGCTATACTATATATTATATATAAACTCTAATTTTTCATTCAGATACTATTATATAAATGTGCCTTATCCTATAATAATAAAATATTAGACTATTACTTTTTTTTGCATATTATATAAAAATTTCACTACTATATTTGTATAATAGAATTGATAAAGTTTCACGATTATTGTATAAAATTAGTTATATGTTCCAAATTAATATATATATATATAATATATGTAGTTCTCTTAACAAGATAAAACCCAATATATAATATATTTTACACGTATATTTGTTACATATTATTGAATTTCCATAAATAATACTCAATAAATTGGATGGACATAGAATAGAATAATATATTAATATATATGCATATTAATATAGGATAAATACAATATATATTAAAAAATGAAGAGAAGAATGTTTTTTTTTTTTATTCTCTTATATTTTTATAAACAGTTACATTTCCTAAGATATAAAAATACATAATTCTTTCAAAAAATTATATGTTCCCATATTGATATTCCATATAGAAAAATCATCTAGGTAAATACTTATATTATTCATCTATTGTCCTATATTTTCCTTTTAAATATTAATAAATAATTATTCCTACTAAAATTCTCCATTGATTTTCATATATTCTATTATTATTATTTTCAGCTGTAAGTAGGATAAGGTCAATACCTAAATAGAAATATTAAGTTTTATTGTATTATATCCTAATAAAAATAAATTATATATAGTAGTATAGAACAAGCATATGCTCTAAATATATTTATGTACTAAATTATAGAAATAAAAATATTAGAACTTCTAAATATATCTAGGGAAATTGCTTAAAACGGTTTACTAAATAAAAAACTAAATATTTTTTAATAGGAGCACTTTTTGAACTTCACATATATAAAGTTGTATCTTAAGACATAATATGTATGTTCGTTATACTTTTAATATTTATTAGAAAAATTTTAATGTAATTATTCCGCAGGGGAATGGAGTTTTATTATGAGTTCTTAGAATTTCGGCTAAATTATTTTTGTACATAAATATTTCTTATAATTCAAGGAAAATTTTATTTGTTCATAAAATTATTAATAATACTATGGTATTATATTAAATAATACTTAGTGTTCTAAATACATCAATGATTTTAGTTAACATATAATACATTTATATATATAATTTATTGTTCCTCAGAACATTTGTATTATACATTACTCTCATATTAATAAATACATAATCGTAGGTAAAAGTTTTTAGAGTTAATGATTTTGAATTGTTAGAGTGAATTAAAGAGTTTTAGTGTTTAGGATTTAAGATTTTATATATACCTTTATGTATTTATATTTATTTTTAGGATTGGTTTTGTATCCATAATATTTTTTGCTTTAGAATTTAATATTAGAATCATAAAATATATTTTATATGTGTGGATTAAACATAATAAAATATATATATATTTGCTATTATTTTATTACAATAGTATCTATAACAACTTCCGTTTGTAGATTTATGAATTTTTATATATATTATATTATTTTAGTTTATTATAAGGAGAATATACTTAACAATTGTTTATTTTATATAGTATAGAGAATACCCTGACATACTTATATATCCTCTTCTATGAACTGTTTTAATGTTGGAAAACTGCATTTGATATATTATATTTTAACTTTGTCTGGTAGTAAAGCATATTATTTTATATGTAGACATTTTGTTCTACATTATTTTTTACAATTTATATTTAATATTTTATAATTGTATATATTATTAATTCATATACTTTTGGAGTTATTTAACAATTAATATTTTAAAAAGTATTAGATTTTTTATTTTATTTATCCATAAGAACTACATTAGATAGAATATAAGCATACTTATAAAAATGATATAGTGTGTTATTTATTTTATCGAAAATATTATTTATTATTTAATTGATATAGAACTTTTTTTTAAATTAATAACCTAATTTATATTCATTCTTTAGTAATTTAACTAATAAAATATTTAATAACATTTTTACGATTTATTAGAGAATTAAAAAATCCTTATATGTATTATTTATTTAAAAGATAAATATGAATTAAACTTTATTATTATAATTTACCTATATGATATATTCATTTTGTGTA